GAGTCCTGCTTCTCTTGAGAAGAAGGGTCTCTACACCAGACCCCCTGTGGTAAGGACAGAAGGCCTATTATCCAAATCAGGCAGTTGAAGCCAGTAGGGTTTAAGACGTAAGCCTGACAGGAAGGGGAAGAAGGTCTAGGTCACTTAAGTGAGGCTCCAGAGGATGTCATACTAACAGAAACACTGCCAGCCTGGACTGAAGGGGAAAGAGAAGATAAAAGGGGTATGATAATGAAAACAAAGCCCCAAGTGAGCACCACCAGCCAAGGAGCAAGGGCCGGGCTCACCTTGAAAGAGGGAAGGAAATGGGTTCTTTCCTGTAGGAGCTACTGGGCCAAAGGCTAAGGAAGTTGCAGAGCTGGGAGTCATCCTCACCTTGTCATAGAAAAAGGAGGTGGCAGCTATGCCCTCAGATAAAACCATTCAAGCCTCCCTCTTGATTCAGTCCTCAGTGTGACTGGATCTTGGCGGTAGCCTAGTACAAGTCCACATTCCCACCCCTGAAACTGTCACATAAGCCAGCCGAAGAGCAGCCAGGGTAGGGGGCCAGGTTAGGCATGCGGACCTGAATAAGCCAAGCGTGTCCCTTCCCTCTGACTCCCTCTTTCTCTCCTGATTACCACCCCTGAATACTGCATATGGGGGCCTCTTGGAAAATTCCTCCAGATGTCATCTGCTCTTGCCTGTGAACTGGACTAAGTTTCCCTAGGATCCTCAGCATGGTCAAAAAAAGCTAGAAGAGTCCCCAGAAGTAAAGGCAAAGGAAGTCCTTGACAATAAAACAGCAGGGGCTCTGTAAGAGCCTGTAGTGAAGACCCTCCATGCGCTTGCCATCCCCAGAGCTCTATCCTGGGCAGTGGCTAGCCTGGCCATTCACCCACTCTCCTCACACCGCAGAGCCTTCTGAATCAGCCGGGGATGGGGGGCAGCCCCCTGCCCAAGCTCTACCTCCATTTGGAAATATCTCATTCCTCCACCCATGGCTACTTTCTTTTAAAAACCAACATGTAGCCTGCTAAAGGATTTTGTTTTCTCACTTGTGAACTTAAATGAAAAGTCTTACCAAGGTACTAAAAAAACCCAACTCCAGTTATAGTGGACATTCAATGCACAAACAAGATCAGAAAGAAGAGACTTTTGTGTGCATCAATGACTCCAGAATGAAGGCTAAAGCTGCAGGTGCCATGCCATACCTGCCAATGCAGCCCCAACCTGCTAACAAAATATGGGAAGGGTGTTGGCACCACCAAAGGAGAAAGAGCTAAGTGCCTGCTGGGTCCAGAAAGCTGGAATGAGAGGAGAAGGGCTGTCCATGCCTCAGGGAGGAGAAGGGTAGGAAAGAGCACTGAGAAAGCAGGGCAGATGAAAGAACTACACCCACAAGGAAGACTGAGGCCCAAAGTGTGGGGACTAGAGTCCAGGAGGCTGGCCCCTCTCAAGTCAGCCTGTACCCTTCTGCTCAGAATAATCATGACCATTTCCTGTAACAATATCCTTTTTGATCTTTCTCATAACTAATGACTACAAGGAGATAGGTTGTGCATTATTTCTGTCATTTCAGACAGAAAAGCTGAGGTAAGTGATGACATTTGTGTCCTTCCCTTGCTGACACCCTTCTTCACAGGCAGGAGCCTGATGAGGAACCCAGGGGAGCAGCATGGAGACACTGGTCCTAGCCCCATATTTTGGTGGAGCTTTGTCCTTGCCCCTCATCTCCCTGGGTGGGGTGAAGTGGAGCCAAATCTTCCTGGACCAGGTCATAGAGGACAGCTCTCCACAGGACAGAAGGGGCCACTGGTCACCAGGAAGTAGTCCAGCCTTCTTGACCAGGTACCCTCACACTCACCAGCCAAACTGCCTAGACCAGGGCCTCTGGCCTGGACCTGCTAAGAGAACCGGCATCTCGAGAATCACCCTTCACTCTGTCAGATAAAGATTTAGCCTCATCTCAAGTACCTGTGCTCAAACGTGCCCACTCCATTCTGTATAGGCCACTCTGTGCCGGAACTGAGACTGGGCCCAGCCCCCACCATCAGACTGGGGGCTCCCTAACAACTCTGGATCTCTCTCCCTTCCACTTTTACATGTTTACTCCCAAGACTATTTCTTGCTTATTCTTTTCTTTTTAATACCCCCCTCCCCCCTGCAAAAAAACAAAAACAAAACAAAACAAAAAACTCACTTTCCATGGTTGATACTTTGCCCTCCCAGATACCCATCTGTCTAACGTGGATTTCCCTCCATAGACTGACAGAGATCCACTATGTGTTTGCCGTTTGACAAATGGGTCGGAGTTTCCTCATTTCCCAGATGGAGAAAGCCAGTCTCAAGAGGTTGGGTGACTTGCCTGTCAGGATGCTGTCAGTCCTGGACCTCTGGCCTTCCAGCCTATGGTCCTTTCCCCAGACAGCCTCGCCACAGCCTCCTGGTGTTCACCCCAAGTAAAATCCAGAAGCCAGGACAGGAACTGGGACAAAGAGAAGGAGGACACAGGGGCCCAGGCCTTGACCCCAAGTTCCTATTTATAATCCACGTTCCGGAGACGGCCACTTAAACACACATTCCTGATAACTGAATAATCTTTGGCACCAAGCAAAAAATAGCCTGTGGCCCAGACCACAATTGCACAGCTGGAGCAGGGTGAGCAGGGGCAACATAGGGCCCCGATGGTGCAGGACAGGCTTCTGAGGGGGGGGAAAGGGGTGGCAGGCGGGGCTTGGGGTTGGGACAAGTGAGTGGAACTGCAAATATAGCAGTTAAATATAGCTTTGCCGGCCTGGACATGGTGCCAGCCTCCTCTGCAGGGAGCGTTTCCCAAATTGGCTTGGATCTCCTTTTCCCAAAGGAAATGAGAGCCAGAGACTTGAAGGGAGGAGCTGGAGGGATCTTGATGGCGATGGAGCCCATGGCTCTGGCGAAGTCTGCAAACAAACTGAGGACCAAGAAAATTGGCTCTGATGGCATCTTCTGGAATCACCAATCTGATCAGGGAAGCACGGCTGTGCCCTGAGGCAGATAACAGAGGATATCTCATTCCCCAAATCAGCTGGTCAAGACTCCATGCATCTTCCAGTTCCAGAAGGACTTATGCTGAGGTCTCTTCTCCAAGAAAACTCAGGCCAGGGCAGAAATGGAAGTGAGAGACATGGAAAATTCTGGAGTTCAGAATCCTGAGGGATCTCTGAAGTAAGCAGTAGGAGCCTGACCCAGGAGGGGGCCCAGAGAAAGAAGCCATGGGCCCTTCCTCCCTCAGGACCAGCTAGCCTCAAGAAGAGCCAAGGTGCTGCTTGAGCCAACACCCTTGACAAACTTTTCTGTTCTTAACCGTCTCCTCTCAGGATCCTTCAGTTGTTCCTTTGGGGCACAACCTTAGTTCTGAGTTCTAAATTTTGGAAAGTCTGTGTCATCTCTCTTCCGGATTAGACAGTAATAAATAAGGTGAACCACTCTAGGTCTGAGGCCCTCCTGCCTATGCAGAGACACCCCGGCATTCCCAGGACATCCCAGACAGGGGTTCACTCACAGTTAGGGATAAGTCTCCTCATCTGTCTGCTTACCCTAAGCCATCTGAAGAAGTCTCACCCTGATGCCACTATCCCTTGGGAACCTCCTCCATGCCCAGGTGTCCCTAAGCTCCCAAAGTCAGCCAGTCTGCAGAATATCAAAGTACTGCTTTCCTTCTGATCCTCCCTGGGTGAGGGTCTGATACATCAGGTCTCATGGAGAAATGAAGAGAACATCCCTGTCCCCATTACTGTGCTACAGGTTCTGAAGCATCACTGCCTGGGCCCCAAATCCCACAATGTCCAGCAGTTTCTCTCTGTCAAGAGTATGATCCACACTTAGCACACAGTGCTTGCCCCCCCTTAAACAGCCTTCCAACTTGGAGGAATCCCTCTTAGCTGTGGTCTTGTGAGAAGGTGAAAAAGCCCAGGCCTCCCCTCACTGTCCCTGACAGCCAGGGCCAGGTAGTCAACACAACTCAGCAAGGTATGCGCACAGAGCCACCTGGCAGCCTCCCCAAGCTGTGGCTGTCAGGGATCTGCAACACTGTGGGGGAAGGGGCTGGGCCACACGGGTCCCAGTGTGGGGCACTAGCCCTTCACTCCACAAAGATGCCCCAAGAGCTACCATGCAACAGGTGGTATGCTAGTTACCAAGGGCAGCAGGGGGAAAGAGAGCCAGGAGCCCACTGGTGGCTGCTCAAACCAGGTATGCCAAAAACACTGATGGAAGGCTGCTGGAAGCCCTGCCAGTGGTGGATAGGGATTGGGAAGACCTCTGAAAGCCAGGAAGGCACAGGGGCAAGGGATTCTAGAGAGCAAGCCTGGGTATAAAAGACCTGAGTGAGAGGAAGGGAGGCCATCTGAAGATATGGAAGAAGGTCAGAAGAGCTTGTCCTTAGAAGGAGAGGGGGAGAGACAGGAGGAGCAGGACAAGATTAGAAGAGGGAGTAGGGGCCAGATCGTGCCCTGACTCTGCCTGAAGGCAACAGGGAGCTCTGAAGGGTTTTAAGCAGGGGTTGACCTGATCAATTTATATGTGAGAAGGATCCTTTGGTCACGGAGAGCAGATGGGAGGGGGCCTGGCGGGATGTGGGCAGACCAGTTAGGAGGCACTTGCAGATGTCCAGCTGAGTAGTGACAGTAGCCTGAACGCAGGCACTAAAAGGATGTGGAGAGAGGTGAGCAATCCCGAGACATATTTAGGAAATGGAAACCATAAGACATGGTGAATACTTGATGTGAGAAGGAGAGACAGAGAGAAAAGAAGTAAAACATTCACTCATTCATTCACTCAACAGTGATGCAACAAGTTTCTAACACACATGAAGTTGGATGCACCAAGTTCTCTGCTCACAGAGGTTTACCTTCCAGTGGCATGAGGGCAATGTGAAATCAACATGAAAACAAACACAAGATCATTTTAGGCAGTGATAAGTGCTATGAAAATAACAAAAAAAGATAAATAATAAAGAGTGATTGGGCAAAAGGGCCTACCTTAGGTCGGGTGTTCTTTGAAGCCATTTCCAGAGCAGAGGATCGAACACTAAGGCTCTGAGTGGGGAAGAGCTTGAAGCCTAAGAGGAAAAAAAGGAAGACCAGTGTGACCAGGGTGTAGTGTGAGAAGCTTGGGAAAGATGAGGTCAGAGGATTAGGCACGTGCACATGCTCAACATGCACGTACATACACACACATGCACATACACACACACGCACGCACACACATGCACACACGCACGCACACACACATGCACGCACCCATGCACACACGCACATGCCTCCCAGGATTGTGCAGAGCTGACTTGACGCAGAACAGATTTAGGGAGAAAAGAAAGAAAGGAAGAAAAGAAGGAAAAGAAAGAGAAGATGAGAAAAGCCATCACTGAGAGGTCATAAAATAAACACAGCCTCCCCACTGGAACCACCAACCAAATTTGCATCACTGGGTGAGTTCAAAGCAACTCACACTGTGAAATTTTATGTAACTGGGATCATACTTTAGTCTGTTTTTTTCACTATTATACTATGTAAAAAGGTAACTTTACAATCCAATTAAATGTATTTACGTAATATATCAAAAACCTAAGATTCTCTGCCATGGAGCTCCTTACCAAAGAACAGCTAAAATAGCTGTGTAATTTCAGACAAGAGATTTTCAGGAAAAGGTATTAATAAAGATAAGGTAATTCCTTCATAATCACAACAGATTTAGTTCATCAGAAACGTGTAACTAATTTAAATGTTATGCACCTAATAACAGAGCCTTAAAAGTATAAAACATAAAAATTATCAGGACTTCAAAAAAAGGTGACAAGTCTACAATCATGGTAGGAGATTTTAAGACATTCTGTTAGTCACTGACATAATAAAAGGAAAAAAAATATATCAGTAAGGGCATAGAAATTTTGAAAAACAGGATTAACAAATTTTACCTAATTCACCTATGTAGGAAACAGGACTCAACAGGTGCAGAAGATACATTTTTTGTTCAAACACACTTAGAAGATTTCTATAAATAGACCATATACTTGGTTCCAAGACCGATCTCAAAAAATGTGAAAGAATGAACTCATTGAGCATGCTCCCTAGCCCCAGTGCAATCAAACAAGAAAAGTGTAACAAAAAGAAAAAGATAACAGAAAAATCCCCTTATGTTTAGAAATTTTAAAATACCCAGTGTTAAAAATAAATCATAAGGAAACTAGGAAATATTTTCAATTGTACAGTAATAAAAATATTATATATGGAAGTCTGTGATGTAACCAAAGCAGAAAGAGGGAAATTTACGGCCTTACAGTAGATATTTTTCAAAAGGCCGAAAAATAATAAGCTAAGCATCAATGACCTAAGTTAGAACAACACCAAAATTAACCGGAAAATAATAAAAGGAAATATTAAAAATAAAGGCAGAGAATGATGAAATAGAAAACAAATATATAATAAAGAGGTTCAACAAAGAGAAAAACAGAGTCCTTGAAAGACCTAATACAATCAACAAACCACTAATGAGAATGATCAAGAGAAAGAAAGCGAGAGAGATGAAATGAGAGAAGACAATACCAACAAGAGGAGAAAGTGGACATCTCTGCAGATGTAAAGATTTAAAAGGTTAAGAAAATGTGATTTTTAAAAAATGTGTGAGAATAAAGTTGTATGCTGCTGAGATATCAAGTAAAATAAGAACCAGGATGACCAGGTTGCTGACCTGTGGCAGCAACCACAGGGGCAGCAAGCTGCCGGTCTGCCCTCCCCACCAGCTGCCCTCCAGGGCCTCCAGGTTGCAGGGCCTCCAGTTCCAGGAGGAAGATTTGGCCTCTCCCGTCCTTGGGGGCTGAAGACTCTCAGTGAACTTGACACAGTCTTGCATTAACTCAATTTACCCAAGCCAGAGTGTAAACCAGATGCCAATTTGTTCTTCTGCAGCAGGGACTGTCCCTTTCTAGAGCCTAGAATGCACCCTCCCTCCACTCCAGGATACCCTTTCCCAAGGTCAGGGTGAGGAACGGAGTGGTGGAGTATAGTTAAGGACATGAGGTCAGGAGCCAGGCTGCCTGAGTTCAAATCCTAGCTCTCTCTTTTCACTTAAGCTCTCTGAGCTTATACTCTCTCACTACAAATCTGAGATAGTAACAAATTATTGTGAATATTTCATGAGTTAGTACATGCAAAGAGATTAAAACAGTGTCTGGCATACACTAAGCATGCAATAAATGTTAACTCTAACAACTGTTACTACCTGAGAAGGCAAAGTCTTACCCAGAAAATGGCTTGGTGAATGCGGAACTCAGAAAGAGTTATGGGTTGGTTTGGAAGGAAATTTTACTTTGCTCTAGGGAAGTCCAAAAAAATAATTCAATTTTGCAAGTGGGTGCCCCAGCCCATTTCCTGGGCCTCTCTGCCCTGAACAGGGTTGGCAAACAGCACACAGCTCTTGTTTCTCTGATCTTTTTCATTCTCATCTCACCATTCCAACCCACCTGACCTCTTGTAAATGAGCTAAGCATCAATGAGCTAAGTTCACAGTTACTACAGCTGTGGACCCAAAGGAGTTTCTTAATGCCCTATACCTCGATTTCACATAAATTTCACAAAATCACCGACGCAGCTGAGTTACTCTGGTTATCTCTGGGTGCGGGACACACCGCCTCAACCCTAACAACTTAAAACAGAGGTCAGCAAACTCTGGGCCATTCTCTGGGTTTGTACAGCCCATGGGCTTAGAACAGTTTCTTAGGTTTTTAAAAAGTTGAAAAAAAATATTAAAAGAGTACTATTTCACGATATGTTTAAATCATCCAAAATTCAAACTTCAGTATACATAAAGTTTTATTAGAATACAGCCATGCCCATTTATTCACAGGTTACCTGTGGCTGCTTTTGCAGGACGTCAGATGTGAGTCATTGTAACAGAGACCTGAGGGCCCACAGAGCCCAAAATATTTACTATCACGTCCTTTACAGAGGAAGTTTTCTAGCCCCTGGCTTAACACATCATCTGTCATTCATTTTACTCATAAATCTGCTTTGGAGCCACACTCAGTGGGGACAGGTTATCTCTGCTCCTTCAAGTGTCATGTGAGGTGGCTCGAGGCCAGGAGTGAGTCACCCAAGGGAAGAAACTGTCTGAAGCCCAGCTCACTCACCTCTCTGGTGGTGGGTGGCAGCTGTCAGCCAGGACCTCCTCTGCTGGAACGGTTGGTCAGATCACCTGTGTGTGACCTCTCCATGTGGCTGTCTGGCTCCCTCACTTCAAAAGCAAATGTCCCAAAGGTTAGGAGTGAAAGACACCAGGTTCTTAAGACCTGGTCCCAGAAACTCACAGAGGGTTACTTCTACCACTTTCTGTTGGCCAAGCTGTCCCAAAGCCCGGGTGCAAGGGGAACAGAGACTCCACCTCTTATTGGAAAGGATGTCAAAGAATGTGGCAGCCATGTTTGAAACCCAGCACCTTTGTTGTGAGCATTTGGGGGCATGAGGCATGGACTCAAAGAATAGCTGTGATTATTCCTGCTCTTGCTTCAGCCATACATTAGCATCAGAGTCACCACCATTTCCGATTTTCTTTAAGGAATCCTCTGCTCATGGGGCCTAGGAGAGACCCAGGCTCCTCCCTGGCTGTGGACTTCCCTACATTCAGGCTACAACTCATCTAGAGGAAAGTGCACACATCCCTATTTTTAAAAAGCTCCTGGGATGATTCTAGTGTGCAGCCTGGGTGGGGGACCACTGAGCAGGGGAGCAAGTCTAGCATTTGCTGTCTGTCTGCATACAGACAGCAAAGACTTAGACAAGAGAAGCTAGTTCTCTCTTAATTTCCCTGCAGAGCCCAGGCCAGGGTCTAGAGCACAGCAGGGTCTCAAATGATACCACTGGAGTGACCTGCATCCGAGTGTCCCAGGACTGTAGCCCTCCCGTCCAGCCACCCCATTCCCTGCAAGCTTGTTCTGACACTGGGCTGACCCAGAGCAGAGGTGCCCGTACTTTTCCCAGCCTTCCAAGCCCTTTCCTTTCCCTGCTTCTCCTTCTAGAATGAGCAGTTTAGGGGACAACACAATGAAAGAAGCATGAGCTCAGGGCAAAGGAACCATTCTCTTGGGCAGAGGAGCAGCGTCAAGCACACTGGTTGTTTTAGGGGATGAAGAATGGGCCTGGATGGGATGAGGGCTGTCACCCAGCCATGCTGAAGGCCCACACACAGCCATGCACATCTGAAGAGCCCTTGCCATGGGCCACATTCCATGCCAAAGCCTGGCCTCCAGATGCCAAACTCCAGTCGGGGCCACCATCTGCCATGGTTCCCACAGGACCCCCCAGACTGCGGCCATGTGCAAGAGCCCCTTCAGTTGTGAGCTGGGGCCTTCCAGCTGTAGGGACACATGGCCTGGCAGATCCGCTGCTCCCCCAACCCCAGGCCTCACCAAGGACTTCAGAACTCAAAGCTGTAAATGTCAAGACATTGCATGTGTCTCCATTGGAGGAGGGGCTGGGCAACCTTTCATCATCCAGGGCTTTGCGATGTCGGTCTCATCCACATCAGTTACACTGAAGATGAACTGCTTCTCAGTCATGCTCAGACCTAATTCTGGCCACATCAACGTGACCTCAGACTGACCACAACTGTGGCCACAGACCAACCCTGACACTGACTCAGACGGATTCCAACCCTAGCCAAGACCAACCTCTGACACTGGCCACAAAACTGACCCTGTCCAAAGACTAATCCTGACCCTAGCTACAAAACTGACCCTGACCCTGACCACAGACTAACCTCTAACCTTGAAACAGGATTAGTGGAATGCACCAAATCATAGCATAGCCTCATGGGCCCAAAGGTGCACCAGTCTAGCTACACTTGAGTGACAGCCATGTGGGCTTCCTGCTCTTGAGCAGGAAGGTCTATCCTGTGCCAACACAGGGCCACCTGCAGCAAGCAGGTCCTGAGTGACTGCTCCCCGAAAGGATGACTCAGAAGCACCTTCTGGAGCATCTGAAAGGGCCAAATAGTTACCAATACTAGCTTGCTTGGCCTCTGGACCCCTGCCCTGGAGTTCCCCACCAAGCAGTCCTTCAGCTCTTCTGCTAACTCTAATCCTACTATGACCAGTGCCACCTGCCTGAGGAGGCTGGTCTGAATGCTCCACTGAGGTTTTCAAAGGTCTTTGACCCACATGATCTTGACGGGAAGTGTCTTCTAAAAGGATCACTGAAGAACTTTTCTCTTCAACCTTCCAACTCCAACTAGACATAGTACCTTCCCCTTGCTTCCTGCAACATAATTCAATAGAGACCAGTTTGGAATTATTTAAATGAGATTTCACTGCCTTCTTGTGTACATCATTGCCAGGGAGAAGTCTGGTGCCGATCTGGTTTAGGGTTTTTTTTGTAAGTAATCTGTTCTCTTTCCTCCAGTGAGTCAGGAGGAGAGGGCTAAGGGGCAGAAGGAGCAACAAGTTCATCCCTTGGGACACTGAGAGTGTGGACAATGGAGTGGGAACCTGCTTGAGAGTGGCTGCCTTGGTCATGCTACCTTCCCACGCCAAAAGATCCAACAGTCACCCACTCTTTCCTGTATTCCTGAGCCCCGACTCCTTAAGAACCGGGGCATTCTCCATTCACAGCCTCTGTTCTCAGAGCTCTGCACGTCCCCTTTCTCAAGGCAGGGGACCAGTCCCCATTCCTGCACACACGTGAGTATCTTCTTTGCATATTTATCTATATCAGCTATGCATATGCATCCATATGCATGTGTGTATGAATATGTGTGTGACTATGTGTGTTTGTACCTGTACACATGTATGTGTATAAGCATACATAGATAAGGATGAGTGAGTATGTGTGAGATATCTAGATGTGAGTGTGCCTGTGTTTGGTATGAGTCTGGGTGTGCATAGGTTATGTGGGTATTGTGAATGTGGTCCATATGAGTTATGTCTGTGTGTGTGCATGTGCTTGAGAATATGTTGCTCTTCCATCCCTGACCAGCAGTTTGCTTCTTGGGGGAGGCACCCTGCACCACCCCCTCACCTGTGTCTCCTGCACAGTCCTTAGACTGGATATGGCAAATTCCCAGCAAAGCCTCAGGGCTTGGGTCCAGTGGGACAATGTCCCAGGCCTCCTGAGTCTGTGGCCAGTACCCTTGATAGAGCCAGAAACCTGTCAGCAGGTCAGTGCCTATGGGTGGCCTGGAAAAACAAGGATACCAGGAGCCTTTGGGGGTGGGCTTGTGCCTCAAAGTTGCTATCCCAACACCATGTCCCAGGTTCATGGGGGCAGTTACTGCTAGCACACAGCACCTGTAGCTAATGCTGTCCTTCTATCCCAAAATCCTGCCCCCAGGCCCCAGGCCTCAAGCCTCATGCCCTAAGCCCAGCAGCATGCAAAGCATTAGCTCCTGCTTTCCCACTCCACCACTAACTCCCAGATCCACCTGCCTTGCTCCATATTTCATACTCACCTTTCCAGAGAACGGGAAGAGCGAGCCTGTGTGTCTTCCACTCCCAGGAAGCTCACATTTTCCACAGCCAGATTTCTGAGCAAGCCTGAGGGGAAAAAAACAAAAAGCACCCTGCAAAAAGATCCCATGCCCCTGAGTAAGGCTTCAACCTCCGTCTCAGCCAGGCCACCCATGCACCAAAATCTGAGGCTGCAGAAACCTCTCCACATTCTGGTGCACCCTAGAGCTGGGAAAGATTATTAGAGAGGGAAGTGACTTCACCTGTCTCTCAAGGCCTGTCAGGAGTTTAGGAGACCAGCACACAGGCTCACACTCTGATATACACTACCCTTACCCCCAGGTAGAGGGAGAACCAGAAAGGGAGGCCCTCTGAATGGGCTGTGAGGCATTGTAGGAGGGGCGTGAGGCATTCTGGGAGGGGCGTGAGGCATCCTGGGAGGGGCGTAAGGAATCGGTGGAAGGCGCATGCGGCATCATGGGAGGGGCGGGAGGCATCGTGGAAGGCACATGCGGCATCCTGGAAGGGGTGTGAGGCATCGTGGGAGAGGCGTGAGGCCTCCTGGGAGGGGTGTGAGGCATCGTGGAAGGCGCAAGCAGCATCGTGGGAGGGGCGTGAGGCATTCTGGGAGGGGTGTGAGACATCATGGAAGGCGCATGCGGCATCCTGGAAGGGGCGTGAGGCATCGTGGGTGGGAGGCGCCTGCAGCATACTGGGGGGGGGGGGGGCGTGAGCCATTCTGGGAGGGCTGTGAGACATTCTGGGAGGAAATTGTGTTTTGGGTCAAGTCCTGGCTGAAGTGCTTATTAGCTTTATGACCTTTGGCAAGGTTTTCTTTAGTTTACCTTCCTTATATATAGTGACAGTTTAATTGCAGCACTCTTAAGAGTGAAAGGGGACACTCTTAATGGTTATACCCAGACAACAGGTATGAATCCCAACCATTACAGGCAAATGGGAACATGTGATCACCCTATGCCATCTACAGTAGTGCTAATGAGGAGCAGGAGGGAGGAATTCCAAAGGGAAGAGCTAGATGTTCAGGCATTCCATTTGGCCACAAGCCAGGAGCTGAAGGTGAGGGGAGGAAGAAAGGGCTGCAGGCGGTCCCTCTGCCTCGCAGTCACTCTGCTCCTGGCCACTTGCCCTCTCCCCGCCCTGCTCACCTCCACATGCCCCAATTCTCTGACTGTAAGTCCATGCTGATGCCTTTAGCAGCCGCCCAGGTTTATCTCCAGGGGAGTGCTAGGTTCAAAGATCAGATAAATTTTCTGGCAGACATGGGGCTGGTGGCCGACTGCCAGAGGTAGGAATGGCCCTGCCGGCGCGGGGTCAGCCAGGTTATTTTGACTCCTCGGCATGGGGTGAGGGGCCTTGGGAAGGAGAAATCTAAAGTGTAGACACAGAGAGACTCCTGTCTCTGATGAGCTGGACTTGGCTTTGCCTTCCAGCTTGGAACAGGAGAGGGAGGAGGAGGAATGGGGGCAAGGAGCTGAGGAAAAAGAAACCTAGAGAAGGACCTACTTTAAAAGTCACTTGTCTTGGTTCCAGCTCTCCCCCAACACACCCCAAAGCCCTGGCGTTGGGCCACAGGGTGTGGGTGACAAGGTGTGTGTGGTCGGTGACGGGAAACCCTTAGGCATCCAGGACAGCTGGGGTGAAGCCAGGTAGGGAGGGGTGCGCAGGGCCAGGCATAGGTCACCACAACCAGTCCCCTGTCTCATGACCCTTAGTGCCCCTAGACTGATACCTTCAAACTTTTGATAGTGACATGCTTTTATGCAACCAAGAATACGTAAAGACTCTCCCCAAATACTTGTCCTTATTAAATCAATGCACGCTATATTTTTAATTCTACTCTTATTTTTAAAATGCTGATTGCAACCCAGAACACTGTTTCCGCAATGTACTATGGGTCATATCCTATGGTTCTGAAAACCACTGTTCCAGACTAGTACTTCCCCAAACTTTAATGAGCCTGCCTATACATCACCTGGGAGCTTGCTAAATGCAGATTCTAGTTCAATCAGACTGCAATGGAACCTGAGACCCTGCGTTTCTAATAAGCTCCCAAGGGATATAATGCTCCTGGTCCTCAGACCCAGGAGAAAAAATCCCCAGATCACAACTTCCTGATCAGCACCAAATTTCAACAAAGGGGCTTAGGAATCATGCATGCAAAGTGAAGGGAAGATGAAGGGTACCTCCACTGAAGGTTGTCTGTCACTGAGCCTCCAGGCAAAGCTGCAACTGAAATGTAGCAAAGACATGATGGTATAGGCTGGCAAAGAACTGCCCTCCAGGGCCCCAAGTTGAACTACTGTGATCTAGGAGCCCAGTGAGGGCACATCTGCCAGTTATCATTAGCTGGGCCTCACACAAAAATGGAAGGAGGGAGGGAAAAGGAGAAAAGAAAAGAAATTGTGGTTTGGGGACCTCAGTACACTAGCAGGCGAGGTTGACATGTCACACTGGGATTACTCCAGAATTCCAGCATTAATCAGCAAGAGCTGCCTTGTTACTGTTCCATCTGGAACAGTAACGCTGACCTTGCCTGTAGGCAATTGATATGGCAGTGGGTCCCACATAGAGCTCTACAAAACACTAGCTCAAGAGGATCAACCAGAAATGAGCATGAAGGTCAAACAGGTTTGAGAAACCGCATGTTCTTTCCTCCAGCCTCACTTGGAGCATTTTTGTTCACAGTGGAAGATGGAACCCTATTTAATTTGCTTGAACTCATCCCTTTTCACACCTACACAACCATGGAACTCTTTTTCTCTTTAACCTCATGTTATGGGCTGAACTGTATCCCTTCAAAATTCGTATGTTGAAGCCTCTGATATGACTGTATTTGGAGATAAGGTTATACGAGATCCTCAGAGTGGGGCCCTAATCTGGTAGGACTGATGTTTTTATAAGCAGAGGAAGAGACACCAGAGCTCTCTCTCCATGTGCTTCCACAGAGGAAAGGCCATTTGAGATCACAGGAAAAAAGCCGCCATTTGCAAGCCAGGAAGAGAGGTCTCACCAAAAACCAACACTAATAGCACCTTGATCTTTAACTTCTGGCCTTCAGAACTGAGAGAAAATTTGTGTTGTTGTTGGTATTCTGTGTGGGAGCCCAAGGAAGCTAATATTATTTAAAAAAGCATGCCATGGAACTCGCTTTAGGAAAGCAGGATTAGACTTGTACTTTTCAAAACCTTGATCTTCTAGGAGACTTACAAGTTCCTGTAGATGGGAGAGGGACTGTGATGCCAGTTTGGAGGTTAGGAAATGAAAGTCCACAAGCATGAAATGAGTGGCCCAAAGTCACACAGCTGGGCAGGACTGGACACATGAAATTCAGTCTCACTGTGGCTGACTCTGAAGATAGTTCCCCATGATCCAGCAGCTGTAGTCGACTGAACATGGTATGATATTCCCACTCAAAATAAAGAGGGAGCTGTCTCCCTAAGCACAGACAGGGTAGTAAGAAAAGTGGGTGTTGATCAAAGGTTTCCTAGAAAATGTGATTCTAGAGCGGGGCACAGAGTAGCCACAATGGAAGTAACCAGGATCAAAATTGGTGAGACCCACTGATGGCAGGAACTCTAGTGAGGACCAGATATATCTTCCTGGCTGGGCAATAGGGAGCCAGTGTAGGTTCTTGAGCCAGGCATGACATGGTCTGAGTTGATCTAGGTGTGTGGGATGGCTGGGAAGGAACCTGGATACGGGACGCCCAGGAGCCAGACCAGCAGCAGAGTGACCCTGCAAAGGTGGAACATGGAAGGATGGGGGTGGGTGGTAACTTTGTCATTCACCTCCCATGCCTGCCCCCATGATCTTGCTGCCTGGTGTAGGAATGTAGGGCCCTGGGGGATGGTTGGATTTTTCCAGGCCTTGACATTTAGAGCTGGTCCTGGCAGTCAGCTCCTCCCAGCCTCCTGCCAGGGAAACTGACATTGAGAGGTGGAGGGTGGATGGAAAAACTATTTAAGGTACTAAACACACACACACACACACACACACAGCACAGACGGCTGTTGGGCAGGGAGGCTCTCTCTCTCTGTTCCCCTGCTCTGTTCTCCACATGTGAGTGAACCCTCGCTCATAGCTCTGATTTCCACATATCTTTCCAGACCAACTCATTCAGTCATTCAGCCCAGCATCATCACCACACGAAGAGGGAGAGAGTTCTAAGGCAGACTCTAGAGGAACTGGCTGGGGCACAAACCAGGGTATTAACTTGGTCCCCAAAATATGGGCAACTGACCCTTCAGGACAATGACTCTGATGTCTAGGGAGATCAGGGCTCTTCAGCATGCCTTAGAGGACAGAGGAGTGCTGGGGGCCTCCATCCTCCATTTGCCCCCTCCCCATCATTCCCATCCAAACCAGACTTGGACCAGCTCAGCTCAGCTTTCACCGACTTTCACAAATCGGGGCCGTCATACATCCATTCAGTGAATGGGATCTACATCTTTAAAAAACCATCATCCTAGGGATTGGCTGGGGTTGGGAAAGGAGAGGTACTGAACTGTAGCTGACACTTCTGGCCAGAAGGCAGGGATCACAGTGGTGACAGAGAAGCATGGGGGAAGCTCTAAAGCTCCCTACTTTATCCTCCTTAGCTCTCCTCTAAGAGCTAAGGAGGCTTCTCCCAGTTTACACCGCGGAAACTGAGTCCAGAAGACATAAACTAACTTGCCTGCCCCTGACCACACAGCCAGGATCTCCTATCTTCCCCAGGGTGGCAGGAATTCCAGCAGCTTTGGGTTACTGGGAGGACATCAGAAATAGGGCTGCCACTGCCCCAGTCCAGGAAACACCACTCATGGTACATTCTAGAGAGGCAGCAGGACATGAAGACTGAGAACAGGAGTCGGCATCAGAATCCTGTCTCCACCAGCTTCTTAGAAACTGTGCGACCTTTTAAGCAGGCTGTTCGACTTCTCTGGCTCTCATCTGTTAAGTGGGAACAGACAGGACCTCGCCCACAGAGTTATGGTGAGATGAAGTGAGTGCATATCTATAAAGTTCTTA